ACTGGTGGGGGGCAAGCGCTGGCTGCTTCTATCCGGAATCAAGCAAAGATTCAGACTATTCAAAAACCATTTGGGTGAGGGTGTATGGTCTTCCTCTGATACTGTGGTGCCCGAGTGTGATCAAGAACATAGGGGATGCTTGCGGTGGTTTCGTGGAAACCGATGACTCCCCTGAGGATCTTTTAACCTGTGAGTGGGTTCAAATGAATGTGAAAAGGTCTGGGAAGATTCCTGAAAAAGTGGAGGTTGTTGTGGGGGAGTCGGTATTTGAAATCTGTATTTGGCCTGAGTCGCTGCCGACGGTCCGAAGTTGGATGCAGGAGATTCATGAGAATAGTCAGTTCCAATTGTGGGGAAGGAGCTCGGAAATCTCTAACACGGTAGTCCTAGATGACGAGGGAGAAAGCTCACTGCCACAAGAGTTCCATTAAAGGTCATTGAGTTTCAAACCGCCACTGAGTAGCTTGCCGGAGGTCGACAGAGGGGAAGAAGATGGTCATGGAATCAATCTGATCCGTTCACAAGCAGTTCCGCTGGACGGCCAGGATCGTCCTCAGGCTGAGTGCTTTGAATCTTGCATGCTAGAATTAATGAAGGGAAGAAGTGGGGATTTTCCGAGGGTGGGGGATTTAAAAATTCTCATAAAGCAATGCATTAAAGAACTACACGCGGAATCGGACGTGGAGGTCTCGAGGTTTAAGGGGAGGGAGGCTCGACAAGGGGCCGGATCGGATTCCAAGGAAGATGAGATTCAGATTTGGACTCAGGTTCCGGATCCGGGTCAAGCTAGATTTAAGTCATTGTCTACCCACTCTACTCAATTGGCGAAGAAACTTGAAGGTAAAAAGTTTTTTAGTGAGCCTCGGTGGCCCACTGGTAGACAAACAGATTATAGTCCGGTTCGGTTGGAACCGACCTGGGTTAGTCTGCCATCCAAACAGTAGTTAAATCCAAGTGTTGGTTGTCCTCTAGCCCACATTCCTAGCCCTGATAATATGGTGATGGGTGATCTGAGTCAGGCTACTACTTCATCTCAAAAAGTTCGGTCTTCTTCAAAAAGTGTGTGGGAGATGGACAACAGGCAGCAACAAAGTCAAGAGCTGCCTCTGGTGCCAGTGGAAGAGATTCCATTGGTGGCAACCCCTATTGCGGTGGTGGGTAATGAGGTTCATAATGGGAATGTGGGAAGTTGTCTTGATCAATCCAAAGAGTTGGGAAATAGTGGTGTAAGCCCCAAGCAAATGAGGAGAAGCAACGGAGAAGTCTTGTTAGGAAACAAGGGGAAAGCGAGTTCATCAGCCGCGGGGGTAGGCAAGGACAGTAAGTCTGAAACTAATNATTGAACAAAGAGTGCTTATGGAGAGGGGAAAATTGGCGGCAAAAAAAGGGGGATTAAAAACAAAGAGAAGCAGAGAAATGATGAGATTAACTTGTGGTCTGAATGATAAGGCGGGGAGGAGTGAAGGGGCTGCGAGGGGGTCTAAGAAGATGTGAAGTGTGGGTCMTTTTCTTTAGTTTTTTCTTATGATAGTGAAAATTCTTTCCTGGAATGTTAGAGGACTGGGGTCGAGAAGGAGGAGGATGATGGTATTCGAAGTCTAAGATTGTCTTGCTCCAAGAAACTA